ATAAAAACGTTGTTGTAAAGTCCACGGAGGTTGTCCAAGGTGGTTCCCCATAGTGGTGGTCCCTGATGGTCACAGGTGGAGATTCCAGGCGTCCAGCCCTGCCACGTATTGCTTGGGACCCCCTTGGTTCGCTACAACGTCACTGGTGCCAAACTGCATCGGTCTATACTGTTCCTTTGGATTCATCAGCTGCCTGGAGAGAGGGAGCCTGCTGCATAGGCAACAGCCTGCTCCTTATATTCTTTCGCCCAGGCATTGACAGATTCAATAATGCCAAAGTCGACATCGACTGATGGTGGCTATGCTACACACACACACACACACACACACACACACACACACACACACACACACACACACACACACACACACACACACACACACACACACACACGCATATGCGCACGCGCGCATATGCGTGTATATATATATATATATATATATATATATATATATATATATATATATATTCATATTTATATACGTGTGTGTGTGTATGTGTGTGTGTGTGTGTGTGTGTGTGTGTGTGTGTGTGTGTGTGTGTGTGTGTGTGTGTGTGTGTGTGTGTGTGTGTGTGTGTGTGTGTGTGTCTCACGTGTTTATGTGTATGTGTATCTATATGTACATATACATATTATATATATATATATATATATATATATATATATATATATATATATATACACACATATATGTATGTATATGTATATATGCATATCTATGTGTACGTTTATATATATTTATATATATATATTTGTTTTTTTTCTTTTTTCTTTTTTTTCAACAGCCATTCATTCCACCACAGGACATAGGCCTCTCTCAATTCAGTATTGAGAGGTTATATGGCGGTGTCACCCTTGCCTGATTGAATGCCCTTCCTAATCAACCGCGGTTCGGCGCGTTAACACTTGTGCCACGGCGGCGACTTCCCCTACGACGCCTGCGTTCGACTTCTCAAGCCGATATATCGTTTTCTCGGGCTCGAGTCAGCAGTCAGAGCGTAGGCATTTTTACAACTGCCGCGACGGGGAATTGAACCCGGGACCACGAGGGTCGGAGTCCAGTGCTCTAACCACTGAGCTATCGTATATATATATATATACACATATATATGCATATATATACATATATATGCATATATATACATATATACATATATATACATATATTTACATATATATATATACATATATGTATATATATATATATACATATATGTATATATATATATATATATATATATATATATATATATATATATATATATATATATATATATATATATATAGATATAGATATAGATATAGATATAGATATAGATATATATATATATATATATATATATATATATATATATATATATATATATATATATATATATATAAACTCCTTCCCCTTTTAACAACCTTTACCTTATAACATACCCCTTCATATCACCCTCTCTATTCTTTCACTATCATACTACCCTCTAGTACTCTTTAAAACTTTAACTATACCCTAATCATTAACTAATTCCTAACCCTTTTCGCTACTATACTTTACCATTGTGCTACAAGAACTTGATGTCTAGAACATTTATTTGTTTTAACTATTAACTATTAACTTTTCACTGGCAAAAGCATTCCTGCCGAACCTCATCCCACCCTTAATACTTGTACTGGAACTGTCTCCATCTCCCCAACAAACTATCCTATCTGTAACAAAAATCGGTCAGATTGTGGAAAAGACTTGCTCGCCTGCCTCATGGACTATGATGCAACACCAGCACAATGCTACACCATTCCCCCTAGATGCCGTCGTAAGAACCCCACGAACATTGGCAAGATTACCTTCTGTAGACATGAAATTCTCCGCCAATGTATTCTTCTCCCTGTCAATGTTAGAATTGTTGGCATCTAAAATATCTTGCCAAACACTGCCATTCACAGCTCGATGCCCTCTATGTGCCCAACTTGGTCATAATCATACTGCTCTACACAGTCACGCACATGTGCCAGTTGCGGCGTCCCCTTTAATGTATTTTATAGGGGCCACCCCTCGTGCAAGTTTGAGTATAAGGTGACAACTCTCAGATTCAAACATTCATTCGCTCTGCCCCTCCCCTCCCTCCCCTATATCTATTCCCCCTACATCTGACATATCGATTCTTTCTTACCTCCCCCAGTCCAATTATTTTGCCATTCTAAATCCAGACACTCCATTCTCTACCGCTGCCAAAATACCTTCCCCCCCTCTCCCTCGCACTACCCGCAGCAGACAGTCTAAATGTTCCACCCCTTCTTCTACCACACACTCACCTCCACCTACATCTGCCTCTACACCTCAGACACCAGTCTCCTCTCATAAGAAAACCTTCGTTTTTCAAATCTCCCCAGCCAGCTCCATTGCAGAAACTCTTGAAGATATTCAAAACTATCTGCCGACTTTTTACACATCTACCTATACCAATTCCCAATTACCATTTTCTCTTCCTCACACTCCCTTTATGTTTCATCTATACTTATCCATTAGAAAACACCAAATGTTATACTTCCCTTTCAAATCACTGTCCCTTGTACAACTATTTGCTGGATCACAGTTGTTTCAGTCTAATTCTGCCCTTTCCACCCCAATGACTTTGTTGCCTTTGAAATTCTAATTTTCCAACTCCAGCCACCTTTCCTCTTGGCTGGTGATCTTAATTGCCGCCACACTCTCAGGGGTGATTCGAACACTACTCCCATGACCGATCCCTTGTAATTCTTAATTAAGATCGCCCCACAGTGGTGTGGAGTGAGAAAGTACAGTGGGAATAAGGGCAATGAGGTTGAAGAGTTGCAATAAGGGAGGAGAACGTAGAAAATAAAGACAGTTGTGCAGGAGGTGGGTTTGAGTATATTGGGAGTGAGGAAGTGAGGTGAGGAGTATATTTTGAAAGTTATAACTTGTGTAGATGATTAGGGATGGGTCAAGTTGACAGCTTGTGTCGACAAGAGGGGTGTAGTAGCAGTGGTCAGAGCCGTGATCAAAGGAGAGTCAGGGGTCAGGTAAACCAGAAGAGTTAGATTTAAAGAGTTGATAGAGGGGTAAGCCTCAATGCTCCTGTTGAGGGTACAAAATCTTCAACTTTGGCCATAATAAGCCTGAAATACTTGGGGACGATAAAAGGGTCCCCATGACGAGTAAAGGTAAGACAATTAACCAAGGGAATACCATGTCCATGGCCGTTCATGACTGTCACAAAGTCAGCCTTTCATCCTTTCAACATGGCTCTTACACCTTGGGAATTGACAGGGGAAGGGTTTGGGGATGATAAGGAAAAAGAAAGTAGGAGAGGAAAATACAATGCAAAATAAGTTGAGTCGAGAACTGAGGCCCAAAGTAGGGGAGATACTCAATGTTCTTTCTAAGTCTCTGTCTCCTAAGCCCACAACAACAACGGGCAAGGGATGGGGGGGGAGGGGTCTGCCAGGGTTGATAACGCTATAGCTTGGATTTCGGATGTAACTGTGATGGGACAGTAAGGAAACTTTACCTATTTGTTTTTGGAGACATTGCTGAGAGAGGAGTGTCTTATCAGAGTGAAGAACTATGGGGGATCACAAAAAAATTGGTGACATTTGGCTAGGCTAAATAGAGTATTTAAGATGTAATAGAAGGAGGACAATAAGGTTGTAATGTGGGTGCATTGGGTAGTTGAAGAAGAAAGTTGTGGGGGTATCTCTCTGAGAGAGTAGGAATGTCTCCTGAAGGTTGAGTGTGGACCTGGGTGGATGATGTGATATGCATTGAGGAGTAGTAGTAGTAGCAGTGTCCAGAGTCCTGGACAAAGGAGAGGCTGGAGTATGTGAACCAGGAGAGTCAGTGGTGCTATTTGATGAAGGGGCAGGCCTCATTGCCCCTAATAAAGGTATAAAGTCTTTATTACTGGCCATGGTAAGCCTAGAGTATGTTGGGGAGAGAAACAGTCTACCCCTTAGACCACTAAACAGGGGAATAAAGTGCCCATGGCTCCCTAGATTGCTCAGCCTTTCATCCTTTCAACACTGCTCTCACATCTTAGGAAATAGATAACTATGGGCAAGGGATTGGGGGGGGGGGGTAACAGATATTGTACTACTTCTACTAAAAATAACAGCAATAAATGTTGAAGACTCCATGAAGTAAGTGAGTTGAATCAGACTGAGCAGTAATGAGTGACATGTAGGTGAATGAAGCATGTGCTCTGTTGGCATGAGTAAGTGCTAAAGATCAGGTGAAGTGTGCACAGTGGGTGTCTGTAGCCCTTGTAGGCAGCAAGCTTTTCTCAAAAATCTGCAGCTATCAGTGGCAAATTTCTGTAGGGTGAAATAAGTCAATAATTTTATGCTTATAGTTCCCTTTAAGGTAAATAATGCCTTATTAAACTACATAGTATCTCTTACCATAGAGCTCCCTAGAACACTTGGCGTAATTTATAATAAAAAGGTTCCAAATGAACAGTCTATGTTGTTTTATTTCAAAAAGGGCCACACAGAATAATAAAAATATTCTTCTTGCACGGTCCTTCCACCTATTTGAATCTGAAATTCAGAAACTTTTCCAGATCCACAAATTATTTTTCAAGGATGTATTTTAAACAAAATATGAAATAATTTTAAGAGGTATACAATAAAAAGTAGATTTCTCATAGCTATTCTTCATAAACTTTATTCTTTTTTTTCAAGCAATACTCTGCAATAAACTCTCATCAGTAATTGTCTTCAAGCACTAAACTATTGAAATAGATGGTACAACTAGAGCAACAGCAACAGTCATTAAATGTAAATTTTCAATATTTTTCCAGGATTTCTTTTTAAAATTCAGTTTTACAAGATTTTCCAGACCTGGAAAATGAAAATGCTGGAATTTTAGGTTTTCTAGGTGGCAGAAGGACCCTGTCATGGATGAAACTACAGATCTTTAATTAATTCATCAGAAGAAAAGGCTCCATATTATTCAAGTTAAATCTTCTGCATCCTTCAAAATATCTCTGAATCCAGTTTTTTTTTTTTTTTTTTTTTTTTTTTTAATGTTGAAAAGGAGAGCAAAAGGCTCATGGTGTGTCAACCAATAGGGTAACTCAAGTGTGAGTTTGTTTAAGTATCAACAAATTTCATGATCTAACAAGTGTGGAAATTTTAACCATTCAGAGTGCGAGGGATGGCCATCACAAACCCAGTGACATCATAAAATATCATAACTTGCTGACTAATATCAGCACTGATAACTGATAACCACCCGATGCTGGGATTGCAAGCCATTTCCTGTGGTTTTCTCTCAACTCCACACGTGCCTACTCACCAAGAAGTCAATTACAAGGCCAACATGTCCTTACATAATCATTTAATTTCTTGGAGAGATATTTATTCATCTTTAGTAAATGATTATCATCAATAATATTATATATTCATAATCATAATAACAACTGTAATAATAATAATAATAATAATAATAATAATAATAATAATAATAATAATAATAATGATAATGATCATAATACCTTAAACTTTAATATATTGTGTATGCCACTGAGAATTATGCAGCACTATTAAATGAGCTTCAAGTTAGCCTTCACTCTCTCAGAAAGTATGATACAATGTAGAGACTGCTTAGCAAACAAGAGCACTGAACTTGTTAAGAACAATAATAATCAAATTCAAAACTATAAACTTGTGGTATGGCTTGTAAATGTATCTCTAACTCAGGCAACTTGTAGTTTAGGGGTTAAAATATGGACACATTGTATAATGCAAAGATTAATCTACTGTAGGTACTCATGGATTCTGGATATGTGGGAAGAGCTTATCTAAAATCCATATCTTCAAACCTCTTGTTTCATTCCTTAAATGAAAAAATCAGAAGAAAAAAAAATCTGGCACTTTCCCTCCTTATTACTAAGGCCATCTTCCAATCCTGAGGAGAAGAAAAACAGCAACCAAAAGGCTATATAGTTGCCTGGATGAGGTTTTACCTGCTTTTTTGACAGAGAGCAACTTGAATATCACTACCTTAAACTACCTTTCTCTATGGATTAAACTCTGAACTAGCAGCCACCAGGTGTTACATAACAACTCTATTCAGTGCATGTAGTGCAGAATATTTTGCAATATGCATTTCTAAGGTCAGCTGTAATGTAAGTATGGATACACAAGATGAATTAAAGGCCTTTAACAAATATGAATACGAGGTAGTTATAATGATTGGTGATGACGATGTTTAACGGTACTGATGATGATATTTACAATAGTGAATGATATGTGTAAAAGTACTGATGGGAATGATGATGATGATAATAACTATCAAAATAAATAATAAAATAAAGAGTAAAGTGATAAAGTTACCATATTTTTATTCTAATGGTCTCAGCATTATTAATGAACAGTATTAAAATAATGTTAAAAGTCACTATATTTCATTTATAAAAGACATCTTAATACAAACAATTTCCTTCATACATAAATCATATGTAACCAGCAAGAACCATTGCACATTAAGTAAATTGTCATCATCATCTGCAGTAATTCTTCTTTTGTTATTCTCCTACTTGCTTATTTTCAAAGTAATGCTTGGCAATATATACAAAATTCCAGTTATTTCTTTAATCATAAATCTGATTTACATTGGCTGCAACTAATTGCCTTCATATATCACAAGTTTGATTGTGATTTTTGTTTATTTTGCATATCTTGTACTGTAAATGGCAACAATAACTGCAAAAAAGAATGAAAGAAAAAAAAGGCAGAACAAGAACAGAAACAGAACTGGGCCACAATACTCTGTCTTCCCTTACAGTGGAATAAAGCATAAATGTTCAAGCAAATGTTTGGCACTGCCACTAGATTTCCCAAGATTCAGGAAAACCTTGAGCCCCATACTGGCCAAAACCTTACACTCTACCAAATTTTCTAAGTAACTAAATTGGTCACAAGTGGCGCTGGTCCTACTATGTTGGACGTATCTTAAGATGTCTTTACCCTGTACTGTATCCCTGGCAGTTTTTGAAGAGGAGCAGGATTTGTACTATGGAAGGCCTGGCAATATTCCTTTACTTCTTCTTGTTCTTGTCCTTTATGGTATACTTCTCATAATTCTTCTGTGGGTCATAAGGTTCCCACCTACTTGCAGGGAAGATATGCTTGTTACGTTCATACCAGCTTCGCATCACCACCTTTCCTGTTATATGATCAAGGAAACTTGTGTCCACATCTGGGTTCTTGGCCATGCGGAATCCCTTGCTCACGCTCGTCTTACACACCACAACTTTTTCCTCCTCTTCCTCATCTCCCTCCTCTTCATCATCTGGACAAAAACTGAGCTTTGCAATCTGGAAAATAAAGGCTTCATTTGCAAAGAAAGTTACACTCGAATACTCTTTTACAAATGCAGGATAAGGAAAAAACTAAGTATAAAAGTTTTCATCCTCATTCCTATGACCTGCAAATCAGGACTGGAAATCAAAATCTGATATGGACAATAACTGATTAATATCTGAAGAAAAAGAAGGCTGATAAAAACTCCTTAGAACTCATATATTATAAATATACTTTCAAAGGAAAAAGGTGGACATTATACAGTATAAATAAATGTCTTAACTATTCTATGTAAGATTAGGACTAGGAAATTAGGAAAGAGAAAAAAATGGTAGAAAAAGAGACAGACAACCATGAGATATTACTACACACCTTATCTTCTCATAATTCTTCTGTGGGTCATAAGGTTCCCACCTACTTGCAGGGAAGATATGCTTGTTACGTTCATACCAGCTTCGCATCACCACCTTTCCTGTTATATGATCAAGACTAGGTAATAAAAAACAAATAATCACATTTATGTCAGACAATTCAAAATGATGAGATTGAAAAATGAAATGTGCCTCTTCAAATTTATCTCTAGTCCACAGTATCTCTCCATACCAATGGTTTAATGCTTACCTGCATGGGATTCTTCCTTCTCCACAGAAGCATCGCTTACCAGTCTGATATCATCACGGACATCAAAATGGAACAAGGGTCCACTCTTACCTCTAGCCTTCAAGAGAAGACAAACAAATTTTATGTATCATTCAATGTACTTAATCATCTTTATTTTCTGACATTCTGCAATGAACAATGCAAACTTACTTTATTAACAATGAAATCATAAAATGTGTAGTGATGAGGTATAATCAGATCTTCTTTTATATACATAAGGTGGTCAGCTGAGACAGTACGTAGCTCATTGAACTCCTTCCGCAAGATTTCCAGACCCCTTTGTAGAAACTGATACACGCTGTTCCCTGGAAATGGCAGGAGATAATAGGCCAATCTTGATTAGATATATTGCAATCTTTTGGCTAATTCAAATGGTGTTCACTTATATACATCTTTTACATACAAATAAAAGAGCAATAAGAGAAAAGAAAGTAAAATGGTTGGGTTGGGGAAGTGAGAAAAGGATGAAGAGAGAGAGAAGGGAAGAGAAAAAGAGGGGGTGGAAGAAGTCTGTCTGTCTCTTTAATATTAAGTCCTCTGCCTCTTCTGCCCTCTCTGAACTCACCTTTCTTCATCCGAACTGATCGTCTATGACCTGACCCGTCCCAGTAGCTGAAGGTGATCTCTATTTCCTCATTCTTCATAGCCTCTTGTTTACCTACCCATTCCTGTCAAAAGAGAAAAAGAAATTCCACCATGCACTTTGCATTTTTTTTCTTTTAAACTAA